GAAAACTGAAGCCCAGAGAGGGAAAGTGACCTGTCCAAGGTCACACAGCAGACTGAGAACAGAATCTGGCCCCTCACTCCTCATCATTCAGTATGTGCTGGGCATTTGCTACAGCCAGGGACTCTGCTGGGCTCTGGGTTCACAGGCACGAGCAAGTAGCAAGTAGGCAGACCCAGCTGTCACGACATTCACAGGAGGGAGGCAGGGATGAATACATAAACCCTCGAAGGAGCATGGAGGTTCCTGGTAGTGGTGCTCTGCTAAGAGGTAAAAGCCCAAGGAGAGGTACAGTGAGGAGGCTTTTCTGAGAAGACAATGTTTCATCTGGGATGCAGGTGCCAGGAAGGAGCCAGCCATGGGAGAATGTAGGGGGAGAGCAGCTAGGAGGCGTGAGCGGATCCCCAGGGTGGAGGGAACTTGGTGTTTGGGGAAGAACAGAAAGGAGGCCGATGTGGCATCGGAAATGAGAGTGGGGCAGTGGGCAAGCATGGGGCCACGCACCTAGGTTGGAGAGGGTTGGGTGGGGGACTGCTGGATTCTGACTTCTGTTTTAGGAAGTGAATTCTGGCTTCTGGAAGGGACGGCCCATGGGCAGGGAGGAAGGGGGCAGTGAAACCAGGAGGCGATTGCAGGGGTCAGGTAAGAGGAGACGGCCCTGGCCTAGCCTGGGAGCTTGGGGCTGGGAGAGGTCTGTGGGGCGGGGGCTGGGACTGGTGAGAAGTGGGTGGAGGGAACAACAGAGGTCAGGGATGCATCTTAGACCTTTGGCTTCAGGAACTAAGGATTTGGTGGTGCTGCTTCTGTGCTGGAGGTTTTGGTGGGTGATCATCAAGCCTCCCGTTTTTGGACCTGTTGGGTTCAAGATGCCCATTTAATATCCAAGGAGAGGTGCTGAGGAGGCCGTGGGATAGCTGTTGATTGGAGCATGGGGTTCAGAGAGCAGTTGGGTGAGAAATGGAGAGAGCGAGTCAAGACTTCTCAGAAGTAGCCAGGGCGTTGCCCGGGCAGGGCGCCTTGATACACAGGGCAGGCAATGGCTTCCTAGGAAGGTTGGGAGGAAGGGGTATTCAGGGGAGAGCAGTGGGCACCCCCACATGGAGGGGCAGGTGCCCATGTCCCACTGGCTCCTCTTCCTCAGTTCAGAGCCCATCCTGTCGGGGGTGTCAGCGGCCCTGACTCTCCACTCCCCTGCAGTCCCCCCAGAAGCTGAGCTGCAGCGGGGACAGAGAACAAGCGCACTTTGTTACCTTGGCAGTTTCTCTCAAGTCTGCTCCTCATAAAAGCTCAGCTGGAACAGTGGAAATTCTGACTTGTGTCAGATACCGGAGAGGCTTTCATAGTTTCAAGTAGCTCGGGGTTAGATTGTAAAAGATGAATTTCATCACATGTTTTAACTTGGGTGGGGACGGTGGGGAGAGTGGAAGGGACGTGATATTTTTAGCCCACTGAAGGCTTTTCCCCCCCTTTCCCCCTCTCTCTCTCTCCTGGGCCTTCCCCCTCCCTCCCTGAACAGATGTTTTGTCTCAATCCTGTTCAGATCTCAGAGCGAGTGGCCACCAGCCTTATGCTCTGATGAGAAAAAAAGGCCAGAATGTTATTTGTTGGGAAGGATTTCCTCCCCCACTGCTGTTTTCTTCTTTTTGTTTCCCCTCAGTTACAACTGGTCCATAAGCAAAATCTAGTGGCAGTAAAATGCAGCTGGGAGGCATGTTGGTAGAGAGGAAGGGCCTGGGGCATTTCTGGTCTCAGGAAGGGGCAGACACCCACTGGTGAAAAAGCTGGAAACCACCCTAGAGGGCACTGCCCTGGGTGAGTGAATTACTGCCATGGTGCTGGGTGCTGGTGGTTTTTCCTAAACAGCAGGATCTCAGAGAGATGGATTCATTAAGTCAGGTTTCTTTCGGTCCTTTTGGAAACTCACTTAAACTTTCGAGTTTAATGAAAACTTTTGAGGCTCATGAAATTGAAAAATCCTAGGGTAGATCTTGCCTAAAAAGGCCTGGTTGGATTCTGGAGCTGAAACCATGTCATGGCCACTTGCGTGTGCACGCACACACACTCACAGAGACACATGCACACACACTCATACACACACGTGCACACACGCTCACACACACACACATACATGCATGTGTCTGTCTCGCTGCCCCTCTCTGTCCCTCTCCATCATCTCTCCCTCTGTCCCCTAGTAGCTTCTCCCCCACAGGTGGCAAGGGTGGCAGTGCCCAGCTCTGGGCACTCCCATCCTCTGAGCTCGGCCCTCTCAGGTGGAAGGAAGTTCCCAAGTCACAGTGGTTCTTGCCCATGTCAGGCTCTCACTTTACTGGTCACGTGACCAGGGTAGATCTATGTTTGTGGGACCTGAGGCTTTCAGGGGCTAAACCAAAGTAAATATCTCACCAACTCAGTCTCTTCTTAGTTCAGGTCCAGACATGCCTGTATTTCCCCACTATTGCCTGACACAGCGACAGGACATCAGAATGGATAGAGACGACAATCTTAATGGATTGAGGATGAAATGCCTAATTTAGAAAATGTTCCAAATACAAACACATACGACCACATGAACACCTTGCAAAGACCCGTTCTGACTTGGAAAGGACCTCCGTAGGTGAGAGGGCCCACAAGCTTAGCTCCATTAGCTTCTCCATGAACTCTCCGTTCATACTGACCTAGGACCTGCCAGACGGCCTTCAGGATGAAACAGGTCGGGTCAGGTGGAGATACTGAGTGCAACGTGACCCTGGGGTGGGATCAGTCTCCATAAACTGCATAGGCTGAGGGGGGGTGAGTGGCTCTGCGGAGGAAAGCCAGATGCTGTTATCCAAAGAGGGAGGAGGGTCGCTGAACAGGCAGGAACAGGTGTCAGCTACTGTGGTCTGAACAGAGTGGAGAGGCCAGCGGTTGAAGAGTTGGGAAACCGGGATTTCGTTCTCTTTGTTCCACAACTTCTGGGTTCCAGTCCTGATTCTGCTGCTTGACCATTGTTTCATTTTGATGATGTCGCTGATGATGTAGCACCTTTAGTGTGATAGACACTGCATTTTATATCTCTATCTATATCATCTATATCTCAGGGTATGTATATGGGACTGATGGAAGATTCAGATGATTAAATGAGTGGTATAATAATGGTGTAATAAGCCTGGCTGAGCAGGGAAGCCTCAGCTAGCCCTGAGGGCGTGAGAGCTTGCTGCTCAGAGGAAGGGAGGCTTAAACTGAAGACCTGCAGGATGAGCGGGAATTGCAGAGCTGGAAAGAGTGTTCTTGGCAGGGATAACAGCATGAGAGCACGGCAGGCTCAGAAAAGGGCAGCAGTTCCACAGCGAGATGGGGCTGAGAGGCGGCGGCAGCCAGGTCGTGAAAGCCTTTGGATCCCTCCTTAGGGGAAACGGGGCCACTGGAGGGTTTAAGTAGGGGAATGGCGTAATCAGTTTTGCTTTTGAAGCTTAGTTTCCTCTTTTGTACAATGCCAACAGTAGCACAACCTGCACAGTGTTAGAGGACGTAATGGAGTAGCGTGTGGTACTACTAACTTCACCAGCCTCTCTGTACGTTCCGCCAAAGTGTGTGGCTGTGTTTACAAACAGATGTGGCATCGCTAGGACCCTCATTCCCTAAGGAGAGCCTCATACAGATACTGCAAGAAACCATTTGGCCTGGAATGCACACATGATATCTTTTTCTTTTTACTGGCAGCAGATTTACCCACCTAATTATATTTGGCAGAGGCTAATATTAAAATTCATCTGCATTCCCTTGAACAGCTGCTGTCAGAAGGTTGCGGACTCAAACATCTTGGCAAGCAATGCTGAGACTAAAATATTTGCAGCAGATAATCTGTACGTGGACAATTGAGAAAGGACCGTGGATATGTCAGGACGAGCCTCCAGACTCCAGCAAGGAAGCTCTGGCTTGTGTTAAATCTTATGTTGTATTCACTGAGAACTTGCCAGGTAACTAGGCTAAGAGAGGGGTCTGCCATGCATTTGAAGCGTTAGTAATTTCTGGTGTTCAGTGGGGCCGATTTAGTTGTAATTGTGTTTCAGAATTGTCTCTTCTTTCCAAGTTTCATATACACCAGGCCTTTCTGGATTGTGTTAAGAGAAGCTGGCATTTGCTAGTATTGTCCCAGGTTTGGATTCTCACCTAAATGTCAACTCCCCACTTCCCCAGGGCACTTCCCAGTCTCCATCAAGGCAGAAGGTATGGCATATTCATGATATAGGCACGCTTCCTGTGCCCACCCATAGAATGTGCTGCGTTTCAGCGGGCCTGGTGGAATCTCTGCTCTTTGCACGTATGGGAAGTGCTAGGCATCGGGCACCCTGGGAGCAGAAGCCTAGAGGGCCCCAGAGCTCATGAAACTTGCTTTCTGGCTGTGCAGAGGTGGAGGCTCCTGTGAAGCAATCAGAAGGTCCCAGATAGGACTGTACAGAATAAAGTGCTAGACTGGGCAGCAGGAGACAGCACCTTGCCAGCTCTGGATGCATTCGGGCAAATTAGAAAAAAGTGGCCTCTCCTGAAGACACATTTCTGCCCTCGGTCCAAAGGATGTCACAAGCAACACACATATCTAGAGTGTGGGTCACGTGGGTGGCACCCCTGTGGTTGTACAGTGCACAGCCTGCTTCTCGGAGCTGGTCTCCTAGTGACCCCAAGTGACTCCAGACCAAGGGGAAGAGCCCTGAGGAGCTCACCCGACGGGACCGTGAGGAGGGCGGGTCTGTTTTATTTCACGGGCCTTCTTCTCATGCTGTTTGGGTGGTGCCAGCTGTCAGCAGCTTGGGCTGGGTGGGCCGTGCCATCCCGCTCTCTGGGTCACTGCCATTTGCCAGAGTAAACAGTCCCAAGTGACTGTGGCTCTCACAGCAGGCGGTCCCCAAGGAGCCTCCCATTGGGCCCACGAGGAGGTGGGGAGGGGCGTCTAGACCCACGATCAAAGTTGTCACCATTCAGGTATTTCCTCACTCTCTTCTTTCTCTCTCTCTTCCTCCCCACCCCTCCCTTTTTTTTTAAACTGGGGGAGGGGAGAGGGAAGAGACTGTCTTTGATCTCAGCGGAGGAAAAAAGTCTGTTCTGTTCAGGCTTTTGGCTAACACAACAAACAGTGTTTAAAATTTAACTTTGCTTAATTAATTAGTAATTCTGTTTAATGCTGTCTGATCTCCCTCCAAAAGGTATTTTGAAGCTTGAGAAGGGAACATCAAAGGGAGCTGGGTGAAGATGGTCAAGTAATGCATTTAATCTGGCAGTTGCTGGGGGTGGAGAGCTGCCAGGCTGGGAGCTAATAGGGAGAGAACCGTCATTTGGTAAACACGGCAAGCCGACTCCTTGACTCCTCATGGCTGTGGTGTGAGGGGGAACAGGGAGCAGATTCCAAAGAGAAGGAGCTCCACAAACCACTACCACCCCCCAGATTCATATGGGCTGACAATAGGCTTTAAGAAAGCAGAGCTGATATTTTCTTTCTTCCATGGCCACTGTACGGTTGGGCAGGTTGTGCACTGCACAAGGGTTTCCAGCCAAGTAGGCAAGTAATAGGTGAAATTGTCTGTGCCCTGCTCATCAAGCACATATCCTGGTGGAGGTGGAGGGTGGCACACACCTAAAGCAGCGATCGATCCACAGACTTTTTCATGAAAGGCCAAACAGTATGTATTTTAGGTTTTGTGGGCTCTGTTGCGACAGTTCAACTCTGCTGTCATACACTGAAAGAAGCCATGGACAATGCAAATGAGCATGACCGACTCTCAATAAAACTTTATTGACAAAAACAGGCAGGGGGCCAGGTTTGGTTCACTGAGTGTAGTTTGCCACCTCCTGCTCTCAGTCACCCAAAAGTACTCCTTAGGCAAGTGAAAGTCCTTTTTTCCCACCTGGTTCCCTGCCTTCTTTTTTTCTTCTAAATGAGCAGTCTCTCCTACAGTTCCTCAGACTTTCAACTGAAGAGTGATCAGCATCTCCTGAAATTAGGCCCCCAAAAGATCATTTCCCAGGGGGAAGAATGGCTGAGCTAAACAGGAATTGGAGACAGAGAATGGACTCAGACTGTGGTGCCAAAGCTGGTCTCAACAGAAATAGCATCACTGTAATCCCCCTTGGCGGGCCTGGGCGGCCTGCAGCGAGCACCAGTCCCCATCCCCGTCTCCCACCTCCAGTGAGCCCGTACTCATTGATGGCTGGAGAGTGGTTTCTTCTGCACAGGGCTCGCTGGGGGCCGTGGTAGCTTGACTTAGTTTGGTTTCAGAGAGTTCATATGTGGAGGAGGCCTGGCCCTTGACCCTGGCATTGGAGTCTTTGTGGCCGGTTCTCTGCCACCTGTTCTACCTACTGGGCAGGGGACAGTAAGAGGGTGAATGACCTCCTTTGGTGGGGATAGAGAGTGCTGACTGTCCTCGTTCCTGACCCCCACAGCCCCAGGGCAGCACGGATCACAGGCCCCATGCTGGGAGGGGCCCCTGGCAGGTTCACTGACCACTGGCTGACCTGTGGATGTCCAGGTGTCTTTCTGAGCTGGGATGGGATGAGGGAGCCATTGGTGAAGAGAGGACAATCCGGGCCACACTAGTTTTTGGAGAAGATGTATGAGGGGTTGAGGGAGATGTTTTCCAGCCCCTCAGGTGAGGAGAAAGGAAGGAAGAGGGGAGGACCTGAGGGCAGACAGGCTGTCCGTGCATGGCCGGGGAAGAGTGCTCCAGAGAAGGAGAGAGCAGGGACAGAGGTTCCTTTTCTTTGGATTTTATCAAGTGGAACATGAAAGGCAACATTGAACCTGAAGGTGCTTTTCTGATAACTTCCCTTTGAACTTGAAGTTTGGTTTCGATAAGCCTGGCCAGCTCGCATCTCCAGCCAGGACCTCTGCAGAGAGATGCAGCGGCTTTGAAGATGGAGCTGGGCTTTGTTTTTCTTTCTTCTTTTTCTTCTTTCCCCCTGCCTGGGAGGGGTGGGTAGAGGATGCTGCAGGCGGTGATATTACTCTGGTTTTTCCAGTGGGGCAGTCAGGGGTCAAGGGGGACGCTTGGGATCTGAGCTGTGAGCTGGGACCACAGCCCATCAACATCCTTGGCAAAGCCAGCATCTCTCAAGCACTTGCTGTGTTTCGGTCACTGTGTTCAGTAAGCACTCTCCTCATTGTCCTCTCCCGACAACCCTGTGAAGGTGAGGCCATCATACTCCCATTTTACAGATGAGGGGCCTGAGGTCCAGAGGAGTCAAGGGCCATGTCCAAAGCTGCCCATGCAGGCCGTATGTATTTGATATGCTTTTGTGTCTATTGCATTCCTGAAGCCTCAGTTTTGACAAAACTTAGCTGCTAACTGCCCTGTTCCCAGGAGTCAGTGCAGTGGGGCCGTCGGTCCCCTGACTGTCACCACTCCGGCTGGGCCTAGTGTGCTGGGGTCTTAGCCCTTTCTGATCAGAGCTTGTTGCATCCACACAAGAATCCTCTGGGGGAGGGGTTGGTAGCTTCCTCATTTTACAGTTGGGGAAAATTGAGACATCTAGAGAAGGTACGTGACCCACCCAGGGTGACACAGTGCCGGAGAACAGAACCCAGGTGGAGACGACCACTGCCCTGGCTGGCCGGCCTCCGTTAGACAGAGAGAGGCAGGCTGAGAGAGGCACCGAGTCTCCCACTAGTGGACTGACTGTGAGCATGATTCAGGCTACCTGGTTTCAAATCCCAGCTCTGTCATTTACTAATGAGGCAGTTATCCTCTCTGAGCCTCAGTTTTCCCATCTGGAAAATGGAGCTAGCTGCCTCACAGGGCTGCATGAGGATAGAGTTGGTAAACAGCAAGTGCTTAGTCATTGCTGCCTCATCTTTCCATACAGTGGCGCCAAGGCACAAGAGCACCAGGGGAAGTGCCTTCGCTAACTGCAGAGGAGAGAGCTCCCATCCCACAGGACAGGAGCAGGGCAGGAGAGCTGAGGCCTGGGCCCACTGGGGGCGTCCCCACTCCGCCTGGCCCAGGGACTGCCCTTGGGCCCTTGCTTGCAAAGCTGGGGTGGGTGAGTGTGGTGGGAGTGTGGTATCGCAGAGACACAAAGGCCCATCTAGTTGCCTGACCTCATTTTTCCAGGCTGCTGACTTCCCGAGAAAGTCCTGTCTTGCCTTCCTCTCTGACTGGGGAATCTCAGCTCCTCACATGACCCCCCCAACCAACCTTGGTCAGGGTGGAGGGGGCAGGGTCCCTTCTTGGAGTAGGAGCCAGCCTGTTTCTTCACCTTCAAAACAGGACAACACATTTATTACCCCAGGCAACAAAGGGAATTGGATGAGAGAAGCTGTGAGCGTGGCCTGGAAAGGATGTCCCCGGCAAATCCCAGCCCCTCTATCAGACGAGATGAAACAGGCAGAAAAGGCTTATGGGCCATTCCGAGAACTGATGGCACTTTGTAGTCTGGGTTCTAGGTCAAGGACGATGGTGCTACCCTGAGCTGGTGTCCTCAGGAAAATAGTGTCGGTAGGTCCTAGGATTTCACAGTCACCCTCCCATAGCTCCTGGAAGGCCACACATAGGACTGTGACCTTTGGCAGAGAAGGAAGGACCTGGGGTGACCAGAGGCCAAATACAAGGTTCAGGATGAGTGTGTTCCCTGAAGATGCCTTTTGTGTGTGTGTGAGTATGCGTGCATGTATGAGTGTGCATATGTGTGTGAGCAGGTGTGATGCATGAGTGTACATATGTGTGCACGTGTGTGTACATGTGTATGTGTGTGCACGTGTGCTTGTGCATATGTGTATGTGTACCAGTGCATGTGTGCACACCTTTACCAACCCAGTTGAACTCTTTTACTGGCACTCCTCCTGGCCGTCCACCAAGGTGTGTATCCTGTGCCCAGGTGGGTAGCACCTTTGGGGAGGCCAAAATGTCAGCACAGAAGGCAGTGGGACTGCAGACCGTGAAGTTCCAGCTCCCTCGCGGGGCTCCAGAAGCACTCCTCCACTCTCGGTCATCTGCCCTCCGGCCCGACACTGCTCTGGGTGGCTTTGTGCCTCCTCGGCGTAGAAGTCGAAGGCTGGTGTGGGGGGCATCTCACCCTGTGGTGGGGGTCGCCCCAGGCAGTACCAGGCACCAGAGTAGTGTGATGTTGACCCCAGCAAATGGGCAGGGCAGAATCCGGTCCAGCCCCGCTGGTAAGAATGTCCAGGCCAGGCCCCGAGGACGAAGGTGCAGCGAGCATGGTGGCCCTGCATCTGGACCCCGCTCCTCACGTCCCCTCACTTGTCTCGCCAACAGTGGCCCTGCCTCCTGAGAAGACCGACGGACTGGGCAGCGGAGATGAGAAGAAGATGGAGCAAGTGAGCCAACCCTGCCCGGGCTCCAAGAAGCAGCTGAAGTTTGAAGTAGGTTTCCTTTCGGTGCTGGGTCCTGGGTTTTCTCGGCTTGGTGCTTTGGGAGGAGGGAAGCTGGGGTTCTTCCAGACAGGGAGGCCCCTCCCCTGCACGAACAGCGCCTTCTGTGGGATGTTCCTCCTGCCACATCTGGGGCCTTCCCGGCATGGGGCAGACCCCGGGATCTTACCGCTTCCCACCCCTCAGCCCGGCCCCAGTCCCTCCACGCGGGGTGTGCCCAGCAGCCTGGGAGGGGGCATGAGAATGGTTGAGGGAGGCAGGACTCTGGCCCTGCTGCTGCTATCGCCTCTCTGGGCCTCAGTTTCCTTGGTGAAAACTTCCCCTTCAACTCTTGAGGCTGTTCTGGGGAGCCTGTGGGGGCTATCAGGTAGGATGGACGAGCAGGAGGCACAGGCAGGCCCCTGATGCTCGCAGGGCCTCAGCTTCCCCACGTGGTCAACACCAGGGATGTGCCTCCCAGAGCTCACAGTCTGTCTGTTCCCCACCGCCTGACAGGGTAGCACGCTCCTGCGCATCCAACACAGTCCCTGGCACTGAGAGCCAGGCCCAGGCCCGCTGCATGGAACTCGCCGCTGCTCTGCCCTCCTTGCTCCCTCCCTCCTTCCCTCTGCCTTCCTGAGACCACCAGGGCATAGTTCTAGAGTCAGCAGGCCTGGGTCCAAATCCTGGCTGTACACTTAGTAGCTGTGTGACTTTGGGGCCGGTTCCCTCAAGTCTCAATGGCCTCACGTGCCTCGCCTGTAAGATGGGGATAGTAGTGATGTCTGTCACATTGGGCTGTGGTCAGCATCATGAGTTCATGCATCTAAAGTGCTTAAGAGGATGTCCCTCTTCCTGACCAATGTTGATTAGCACCGGCTAATTGCCAGAGGACCCAGCTTAGACTGGGTGTGGTTCCTGCCCTCAAGGAGTGCACAGTGTGACAAGGGGACAGTTGGGTGCCCTGGACCCAATGGCTGTACAGTTGGTGATGTGATGAGGTCCGGGAGCCTGGGGTGGGGTCAGGCAATGGGGTGTGGGGCAACGGACACTTGGCATCTCCAGGCTCTGTGCAGTGACTGGAGGAGGGAGCCAAGGCTGTGGATGGAGGGTGAGGAGGTGGGTGAGGCTCAGAGCGTAGGGGGAGGAGTTGGGAGAGAGGCGCACAGAGGAGCCTTTGGTGTGAGAAGGGCCTTTCTGGCAGAGGGGACTGCAGGAGCGAAGGCCTGGGGCTGAAGTCCCAGCATGCTATGTGGGGTCAGTGAGCGGCATGGTGTGGCCTGTGCTGGATGGTGCGGCATGAGGGAGATGGCCTGTGTGCAGGGACCCTGGTGACTGATCTTATCCCCTTTCCAGTGTCATCTCCCCGCCATGCCCCACTATCCTGCACAGCCCACACCACGCAGCGTGTTCTCCAGCCTCCAGGAGGCTTGAAGCCTTGCCTGGGGAGGACAGGCAGCGTCTAGGGGGAGTTAGGGCTGCCAGCTTCTTCCTGGAACCCAGTCCCGTCCTGAGCCCACCCGGGTCCTTGTAGGGTCTCCTGGGGGCTTGGCAAATTCCAGGGCCGAACTCAGCGGCAGAAGGAAGCCCAGGCCCAGGCATCCTGCCTCCCTGGAAGCCCAAGTGTGCTTGCTTCTGGAGGAGCAGGAGCTGTGGGCCATGGGCAGGACTCGCCTAAGAAGCCCTGTGGGGTGTGGGGAGGCCTGGGAGACCCGCATCTGACAGGTGGGGCAGGTGGCCATAGTTACTCAACTCACGTTTCTGAAGCTCAGGCCCAAAGTGTCTTTGAAACAGCCAAATGCTGTGTGTGTGTATGTGTGTGTGTGTGTGTGTGTGTGTACAGGCATGTGTGTGTAGGGTGCGCACGTATAGGGGTGTGCCTGTGTAGGTGTGTGTGTGTATGTGTGTGTGTGTAAGGGTGAGTATGCAGGCATGTATGTCATGGCACATGAAACAGTGCCTCGGAGAGCAGCGAGGGCCCTTGGCAGGTATCAGATGGGTGTGGCCTAGGCAAGGTTGGCTTTGAACTCAGCGTGGGAGCCCAAGAATTGCTGGAGGGAAACAGCTTGGAGCTGCTGCAGCCGGGACCAGGACACCGTGCTGGGGCTCACTCCCCTAGCGTCCACAGGCAGGTGTCTTCTGCTCTTCTTCCTCCTGCCAGGCCAGCCCGGTGCCACCTTCCTGATGGTGGAAGGAGAGGTGGAGTTTGGCAAGCCATGGAGCAGCATGGTCTTGTTTCCATAAATCTTGTGGATCTGAAAGGCCACTCGTGGAACCTTTTCCTGCTGAACAGCATGCTCCCTAGGACTGTCCATCTGACACTCAGCCAGCCTCTGTGCTCAACCTTCCGGCGACGAGCTCACCCTTTCCCAGCTCACATTCCCTGGGGTCAGACACTTTAGGTTGCTGAAAATAATAGTAATGAAATGATTGTTTCATTGATTATTGATTGAAATAATTATTTCAATGACTGTTTATCATTACAGCAGAATTAACAGCTACTACCATGGATTGAGCTTTTCTATGTGCCAGGCAGTGCTCCAAGCACAGGTGTAAATGACCCCAGCGTGTATACTCCACTTCCTGTTTCCGTTCTCCTAAGCAGACCTGGCCACATGGCCCTGGGAGCAGGCAGTGTATAGGGGAGGCGGTCCCGCGGTGCAGGTGGGAGGAAAGAGGGAAGCCAGCGAAGGCTGGGTTTGCTCGTGGGCTCTGCCAGCTGGAGAACCTCCTAGGACCCATGTAAGCATGCGCTCAGATTTGTCCCACGGAGGGGTGAGGAGGTTTGGCATTTCCACTGCCTCCTGTCCCTCCCTTGTTTGGTCTCCTCTGGGCATTCCTTCCGGGACTCTTCAGGGCTGCCCTGAGACAGAAAAGCGCACCTGAGGCGGGAGGTCAGGCACTGTCCCCCCAACAGCTGCAGGGAGACAGCCAGGCTGAGGGCGTGTTGGGGGCCATGTCATCTTCCCAGCAAACTTATGGGAGAGAGGCCGTCGTTTTCCACAATTTATACCAGGAGAAACTGAGGCACAGTGGAGGGCAGCGACATGGCCAGGGTCACACAGCTGTGGAGGGCCTTGCAGGGGCTGGGGCCGGGCCTGACCGACATCCGAGCCCCTCATGCACGTGCTCACCTACGCCGGGGTCCGGCTGGAGCTTCCAAGTTGCCGCTCCTTTGCCTTCTAGTTGCTTCTTGCCCTTGGTCCAAATTCAGCTTTTCTGAGGCCACAGAGCCTCTTCTCAGACTGCCCTGAGTTTCCTTTGTCTTTGAAGACCCACAGACTGCCAGGCACCCCTGCAGGCGTCCCTCCCCGGGCCAAACTACCCCTGCCCAGCCCCTGGCTGCCTTCCTGGGCCAGTTCTGTCTTGGCCAAGGTACTCCCTGTCCACTCCAGGTCTAGGGAGAGCAGAGGGCAGGTGACCGCCCCTTGGCCTGGCCTCTGGGCTCATGCCTCCACCACCCAGTCAGCATTGCCACAGATAGGGGACCAGCCCCGCCCATCTCTCTGCATCCAGGAGCTCCAGTGTGACGTGTCCGTGGAGGAGGACAGCCGGCAGGAGTGGACCTTCACCCTGTACGACTTTGACAACAATGGCAAGGTCACCCGAGAGGTGAGTGCACCTGCCTGGCCTCTTGCCGTGTATCATGCCCGTGGGCACAGGGCCTGGGCATAGCTCCCCGCCACTGCCTCTTCTCACCCCTGCATCGGTCCTGCCCCTCAGGGAAGGCTGTAACAGCCGGGGAGTTGCTGGGAGCGCCCGTGAGATTGGGAGGGGTATCCCAGAGCTGCTGGCAAGTGGGAAGAGAGGACAGGGAGGGAGGGCAGCTCCCCTGCCCTCAGCTTAGGCGCTGCTCCTCCTGGAGAAGGAGCGGGGGCAGGTACAGAGCCCCAGGGCCTCCCGAGAGAAAGACCCCAGGCCTCAGCTGAGTCCTGTCCTGCTTCTTTCCACATTCCCAGAGCTTGGGGGGACAGGGCTGGGACCACCGCAGGCCACCTCCCTCACTTAGCCATGCTGCCCAGGAGCTTGGCGGTGGGTGCACACAGAGGCCACACCGCACCTCACTTTAGGCTACGGGAATGACACCACCCGTGCTGAGGGCCCGCCAGCAGCTCTGCGGTCACAGCTCTGGTCATGGCCTCACCCCAAACCTCTTCTTCCTCATCCCTCCACAGGCTGCTCCCTCTTCAGGGCCCTCCGCAGCTGCCTCCTTCCTGCCTGTGTCTTTGCACACTGAGCACGAGTGTGTGCATCTACAGGGTCCTAGGTACTAAGCACAAGGATACAGCAGGGAACCACACAGACAAGCTCCTCACCCTGGGGCTTTGACATCCTGACAAAAGGCAGATCCAAACAGCTGTACGATAACTGAGCAGCGATGTGTTCAGTGAAAAAAATAAACAGGGTGTTGTGACAGAGACTGGCTGGAGGGTCCAGGGGAGGCCTCCTGGAGGAGATGGCAAGGGAGCTGAGCCACACAGCATGCACAGCCTTGGGGGCTCCTGGGCAGACCGAGGCCAGGGGCTCAGGGTGTTTAAGGAACTGAAGGAGACAGCTGTGGTGGCCGATCGGCAGGAGAGACAGCTGTGACTGGGGACCTGGCAGGGCCAGTCTTCTGGCAGGCAACCTGGATTTGATTTCAGGTCCTGAGGGCACTGCTGGGGGGTTGGTATCCTTCCTTCTGCTTCCTCATCCCTTTTCCTCCCTGTCCCTCTCTGACGACCTCTCCCTCCCCGAGAGGCCCCCATCTGCAGGTGTGGGACCTGTTACAGGTCTGAGGTTGCGTGCGTCTGCGCGTCAGCCCAGGATGACACGCCAGGGCTCCTCCTGCTTCTTGTCCAGCATGCCTCCTGTTTCCAGAAAGGATTGAGGCTTTGTTGCCTGCTCTCCTCATCCCGGGCCCTGGCAGGGTGTTTTCTTCTCTGTGATAGTGCAGGAGAAATTCACCTTTATGCTGCCAGATGGGAGTTCTGTGTTAACAAGGTCACCTCCTCCTCGGGCTGTGGTTTAGGGGCTGTTCCAACAGGCTGGAGGAGGAAGTTGTGACTTTTAAGTACTCAGGACTCTTTGACATATAAGTGACAGAATACATGCTACAACTGCTGTATCCAAAAAAAAAAGGGAATAGATTGATTGGCTCATGTAACTGAAATTTGGTTTGGGGTCTGACTTCAGGCATGGCTTGACCCAGAGGCTCAGTGGCTTCAGGACTAGTATTCATCACGGCTCTATTTCCTCAGCTCCATTTCCCTTCTTGTGAGGCAGACTCTCCCCTTGGCAGCAGCAAGATGACTGCTGACAGCTTCAACCTGCACCCTCCTTCGCTGCCTTGGGAATGAGAGGGAGGCCTGGCCCTGGGGAAAGCGTTCTCTGGGTCATGTCTTCCTCCTGCTGAGAAGCCAGGGGGTGGTTTTGAGTGGAGGGAGGACCGGCCTGGTGTCTCCCTGATCCATTTTTAGCCCTGATGCCATTCCTCAAATCTGGCTGTAAATACGGTTCCTCTCCACGCCTTCTGAGTGCCAGGACAGATGGGCTCCCACCTCACGGCATCTGCAGCCCGGAGCCCGGGTGTGGGCCAGCTTTCCACTCGGAAAGAAGTACCTGCTTCTCCTTCAGGCGTTTGTTCATGTGGGAAATACTGAGCACACTGATTGCTGGGTGTCTGGCCCTGTGTAGTCAGTGGGGTTGATTTTCAACCTAGAATTGCCAAAGCACACAGGCTCCGAGACCCTCAGTCTGCTGGGACCCTCAACCCTGATCACACACGAGGGCCCCAGGTCCTCTAAGGTATCAGAAGTCTGGGGGATGAAGTGAGTGACCCTCAGCCACCTCATGTGTGTAATGAAGCCTCCGTCATGGGCTGCCCAAGATAGACAGAGTGAGCAGACAGGGCCTTACGGAGAAGCCGGAGGGAAGGAAAGGAGGAAGGAGAGCCCTCTGCGGGCCTCGCAGGAAGAGGTGGGATCGCTGAGCAAGCCAGATAGGGAGTGCCTGGAGCCTGGGTCTCAAACTGGTGGCTCCCACAATTCCAATCTGGCCCCCAGATGCTCTGCTCTGGTCCCCCAAGGGGTTTTGTTAAATGTCAGTTGCCAATATCAGTGATTCTGAAGATGTAACAGAAAATCCTGGATTTCTGGCTTTTCTGTGTGACTCCCCCCTCCCCCTGCATTGTTAAAGGGCAGGTCAGCTGAGCTGTGTGGCTGCACCTCCTAGGACAGGGCCAGCACCTCTGTCACCCCTACCATGTTGCGCCACCCACCCACCCATGCCTGGCTGGGGCTGCGCTGGGGTTGCCTCAGCCACTTCAGCCTGCGGGACTTATAGGCAGGAGGTGGAGGATGGTGGGGCAGGTAACTGACCACGGATGGGCCTGATCGATAGAGAAACAGTGTCTTCTCCAGAGGTTTCCAATGCCATTTAAAGCAGGACGTTACCCCCTCACCGCCACCAGACAAGTGACTGCAGCAGGTACCCAGAAAGAAAGGGCCTAGTGAGGGGAATCCGTGCCCTCCAGCCCCAATTAGAAGGGCTGTGGGACACCCAGGGAACATTGTGTAGACACCCCTGTTCTGGTTGAGGGGTACTTGAGGCTCAGAGAGGAGATAAGATTTAGTCAAGTTCTCACAGATTAGTTTGTCTTTTAGGACGGTCTCAGCCAGCTCAAGTTGCCATAACAAAATACCACAGACTGGGTGGCTTAGAGAGCAGAAATTTGTTCCTCACAGTTCTGAAGGCTGGAAGTCCTCCAAGGTGCCACCTCCCTCAGTTCCTGTTGAGGGCTCGCTTCCTGGCTTGCAGACGGCCACCTTCTCACTGTGTCCTCATGTGGTAGAGAGAGAGACCTCTTCTGGTGTCTCTTCCTTTTTTTTTTTTTTTTTACAAGAGATGGAATCTTGCACTGTTGCCCAGGCTGGAATGCAGTGGTACTCTCATGGCTAACTGCAGCCTCAAACTTCTAAGCTGAAGTGATTCTCCCACCTCAGCCTCCCAAGTAGCTGGGACTACAGGTGTGCACCACCACACATGCCTATTTTTCAAAAAAATTTCTGTAGAGAATGTTATGTTGCCCAGGCTGGTCTTGAACTTCTGGGCTGAAGTGATCCTCCCACCTTGGCCTCCCAAAGTGCTGGGAATTCAGGTGTGAGCCATATCCCTAGCCTCTCCTCTCCTTCTAAGGGCCCTGATCCTATCACGATCCCAACTTCATGACCTCGTTTAACCCTAATCATCTCCTTCCTCCAAATACAGTCACAGTGGGATTTAGGGCTTCAACCTATGGACTTGCAGGTGAATGGGGAGCCACAATTCAGCCCATAGCAGGGACACGCCTCCCTTTCCATTTTTCATTTCAAACCCGAAGCAGATGCTGTTGATGTCCCCACCTAGTTTTCCCCTGGCCTACCTCGAAGTTCACCTGCTGCCGTGGTAGATGGTGCCCACTGTAAGAGCCTTCTCAGGTACAGGGAGCTGGCTTGGCCCTTGCAGGGGAGCCCAAAAGCACAAGGGAGGGTGGGGCACAGTGGCTTATGGCTCATGCCTGTAATCCCAGCATTTAGGGAGGCTGAGGCAGGAGAATCACTTGAGACCGGGAGTTTGAGGCTGCAGTGAGCCATGATCACACCCCTGCATTCCCACCTGGGTGACAGAGTGAGAACGCATCTCAAACAAAAATCCAAAGTACAGGGAATGTAGCATCCTTGGGGAGCTCTCAGGCAGTGAGGAATGAGAGTCCATTCCTAACCCCCCCTCTGTCTGAATGAGGCTGTTCCAAGATGGACTCTACAGTCTCCCTCAAGGGCCCAAGTGCGACTGAGCCCCAGTTGCCCCTGGCTGTAACCTGCTCTTTTTCTTTTCTCTTGCGGGTTTTTCCTCTTCTCTCTCCCTGCTCCCTCACTTCTGCTTCCTAGGATCTCCTCCCAAATGAACCTCAGACATCCAGGTTTTTGCCTTAGGCTCTGCTATGGGGCAGCTGGAGGGATTCAGGCCTGCAGCGGCCACCAGGCCCTCTAGTTTCTATTTTCAAGGCCCTGTGACTGCAACCCCCGCATGGGTTTCCGCTTCCCTCCCATTCAGGACATCACCAGCTTGCTGCACACCATCTATGAGGTGGTGGACTCCTCCGTCAACCACTCCCCAACATCGAGCAAGATGCTGCGGGTGAAGCTCACTGTGGCCCCCGATGGCAGCCAGAGCAAGAGGAGCGTCCTTGTCAATCAGGCTGGTGAGGGGCTGCAGGGCTGAGCCTGGGAAACAAGGTCCTCCCATCTCTCAGGAAGGATCAGCCCCTGCCTGGAAGGGCCAGCTCCCTCCCTGTGGGCTTTCTGGGGCAGCTGCTTTGTGGACAGGTGGGGTTCAAAAGGGCCCTTGAAGTGGTAGGAGGAAGGGTGGGAAGAGGAGGGAAGGGATTCCGGGTTAGAGGCCTTGCATAGGCAGAGCCATGCAGCTGGAGCAAACGCTGGTGTTGTGGGCAGCATGGCATCTGCAAGCCTTGAGGCCAGCCGGGAGGAGGTGAGGTTGGAGGGGGAGTCTGGGGAGGAGGTGAGGCTGGAGGGGGAAGAGGTGAGGCCAGCCGGGAGGAGGTGAGGCTGGTGGGGGAGGAGGTGAGGCCAGCCGGGAGGAGGTGAGGCTGGTGGGGGAGGAGGTGAGGCCAGCCGGGAGGAGATGAGGCTGGAGGGGGAGGAGGTGAGGCTGGAGGGGGAGTCTGAGGAGGAGGTGAGGCTAGATGGGGACATGACCTGGGCGGATAGCTATGAGAGCTCTTTATTTAGCCCCAGCTCGGGGAACCCTCTCACAGTGGCCTTGCAAAGCAGCTGCATATCAGGCAGCTCCTGGGCAGGGTGGGAACAGGCAGCTCACCTGGTGTCTCTTGTGCTTCTCGGCCGGACTCAGACCTGCAGAGCACGAGGCCCCGAGCAGAGACCAAGCCCGCTGAGGAGCTGCGGAGCTGGGAGAAGAAGCAGCGAGCCCCACTCAGGTACGTGGACATGGTGCACGTTAGCATATGTTGAGCACCGGCTGTGTACCTGAATCTGGATGTACACAGCCTGAGTCTTCCGTCTGTGTACCTGGATATGGAGGACTTAGAGCAGGAGGTTTGGCTGTGGTCTGTGTTCTCTTCAGGGAGCCAACACTTTTGATGCACAGAGTCATAAATCAAACAAAAACCTTAACAAATAAGTACATCCTTTTATGCAACACACCTTGGACAGACAGGACGGGAGTCGAGCATTTGCTGGGCTTTGGCAGGGCTCCCCGTGGCGCATCAGGCTCTGAAGCATTGCTGTTTCTGCTGGGAGATGATTGGATATTCACACTAAGTGAGATAAACACCTTAAACACCTTCCCATCCCTTTAGGGTGGGCTTGGCTTCCACGTGGGTTATGAAAAGTCTTAGTTTTCAGGCTTTTTGGATTTCAGAATTGTGGATAAGGAATTATTAGGCTGCAGTTACCTTTCACCTGTTATTTCTTCAACTGCAAGGGAGGAAGGGAGGAAAGGAAAGAGATCATTTAAAGAAAGACATTGAGTAAACAACAGTAACACGGCGGGCATGAAGCTGTGTTAACCTCTAGCGTGCAAACGGTAAGGGAATGACTGGAGCGGAATTAGTACTCGCTTAGGGGAAAGAAAAAACATAGTTCAAGCAGGGTCACAGCCAGATGTGGGGACAGGGCTGAGAATCAGAGGGACCCAGGCTGGCTGGAGATCCTGGGGGAAGGTGGTGCTGTGGTGTGTGGGAAGGAACCAGGATGGGAGCAGCTCGCAGAGGTCCTTGGAGGAGAGGGCTGGGGAGCCCCAAGCCCTGCAGGGAAAAAAAGAGCCTCTGACAGCATCTCTCCCCACCCCTCCATACACACTGTCTTAGTCACACACACATGCATGTGTGCGCACACACACACACACACACACACACACCTGAGAGGCCCATCCTGGGCTGTAGGGCCGGTCATGGGGTCTGCCAGGCCCAACTCCAACAGTATGAGGGACTTCTGCTGCCTGCAGCCCCTGGGGAACCAGGCTGGGGTTTAGGCCACCTACCTGTAGCAGGCACATACGGCTTGAAGCCTGGCACTGGGGGATTCTTAGAAGTTGACCAATAACCTCTCACATTTGCTTTGAACTTGTTCAAAGCCAACCCCTGTCCACTCCTTCTAGAAACTGCAAGGAAGTCGGGCCATGGGCTGTGGTCTGTCTCTCCATCAGCAGGAAAGGAAACGGAGGCACAGTTCACAGGGAGGACTGTTCCTCCCCACTCTCTCCCAAGGCCAAGAAGGAAATGAATGAAGGGTCCGGAGTTTGTTCTGGGGGCTTCCCAGTAGCCTATGCAGCTGCCCCCACCTGGTGTTCAATGTCACCCCACTCACTTGCCTTCCCTGCCATAGGTTCCAGGGTGACAGCCGCCTAGAGCAGTCTGGCTGCTACCACCATTGCGTGGATGAGAACATCGAGAGGAGAAACCACTACTTAGATCTCGCCGGGATAGAAAACTACACCTCCCAGTTTGGGCCTGGTAAGGGACTTGAGCCATGAGGGTGGGTGTGGCTGGATGGGCCACGTGGGCAGTGTTCACTGCTACCCCAGGCCTGGGGAAGACAGCATTACACGGCAGGTTAAAGGCTCTTCTTAGAGAAAGTGATGTTAAAAACGGTTTCAAAATTAACATGCACAAAATTGAGCAAAATCAAATAGTATCTAAGGGCTTGGCACCCAATGACAAACAACAGTTCTGTGCCCCATCCCTGCCCACCCAAGCCCTGTTCCCCTCCCCAGGCAGCTACTTTGACCCTTCTTGGCTGTTTCTTCCAGCAAGAGCCTCGGTTTCCCTGCGTACAACGTGGCTGTGTCTTTATCAGCCTTGACATATGTTGACTTCTTGCTCAGTTTCACTCCCACAACTTCCTTCTCTCTTTCTTTTAATAGGTTTAATTCCTCTGTGAGTTACTTCTGTATGTTTTCAGCAATATGCGTAAGAGTTCTTTCTTGTCCCAGTGACCATAGACAGTTTTCAGGGTCTCTGCTGCCATCTCTCTTTCTCAGCTCTCTCTCGAAGAGTATTTTTGAAGACCTACCAAAGAACCGGTTCTTCCCACTTAGCAGATAGGAAAGTTCCATTTCAGAGAGTTTTCCTGCAAAGCAGTGAGGGACAGTCAGGATACTGGGGAGTAGCTCTGATCAAGAATATTTGCATTTTTTAGTCTTGGAGAACTGGGGGTGGGGGTGATGTTTGGGGTACAGCACAAGACCCCCAGCAAACCGTAGGTGCTCATTAAATGTCTGTTGAATTGGTTCCTAGGCTCCCCTTCTGTGGCCCAGAAGTCAGAACTGGCCCCCCGCACCTCCAACCCCACTCGATCTCGCTCCCATGAGCCGGAAGCCATCCACGTCCCACACCGAAAGCCCCAAGGCGCGGACCCAGGCTCCTTCCACTTCCTTGACACCCCAATCGCCAAGGTCTCGGAGCTCCAGCAACGGCTCCGGGGCACACAGGACGGGAGCAAGCACTTTGTGAGGTCCCCCAAGGCCCAGGGCAAGAGCGTGAGTGTGGGCCACGTGGCCAGAGGGGCAAGAAACAAACCCCCTCTGGGACCCGCCATCCCTGCGGTGTCCCCCTCCGCCCACCTGGCCGCCAGCCCAGCCCTCCTCCCCTCCCTGGCCCCCCTCGGGCACAAGAAGCACAAGCACCGAGCCAAGGAAAGCCAGCAGGGCTGCCGGGGCCTGCAGGCACCGCTGGCCCCAGGCGGCCCCGTCCTGGGGCGGGAGCACCTGCGGGAGCTGCCTGCCGTGGTGGTGTACGAGAGCCAGGCTGGGCAGCCCGTCCAGAGACACGAGCACCACCACCACCATGAACACCACCACCATTACCACCACTTCTACCAGACATAGAGCCCCTCCCCAGGGCCCCACCCTGCCATATGAAGGACCCTGCCCCCAACACCCCAAGGCATTATTATTCTATTAATTATTGTTATTATGATGATTATTGTTATTAATAATTATTGTTACTCCACTAATATTTAGCTAGCCTTCATGTAGAAGATCTATGGAAACACAGAACTAAACTTTTATTTATATGTTGTGGGGACTGCATAACTAGCCCAGGAAATGACTCTGGTTTGGACTGGCCCGTATGGGCAGAGGCTCCCTCAAGGCTCAGGAGCTGCAGCGTCATCTGTGCGGATCAGCCCATACCCTTCCCAGAGCCAGGGAGCCCTCAGCCCCAACTCTTGCCCCACCCCAGGCTCTTCCAGGAGAGTACCCTTCCCTGGCCCGGCTTCCAGAGACCCTCGAAATCTCCGAGAAGATAAACAGCTGCTACCTCTTAGTATTATCCTGATTTTATTTTGCCCTTAACTGATTGTAATGTGCTACAAGGGATTTCAGTGGACTGCAGAATGCGAACTTCTTGCTGTTGTGTTTTTATGTCCCAACCTAGAAACCTTAGCTGTCTTTTCTGGAGTTGTCTTTCACGCTTTTCCAGTGGGATCAAGCCTTTGCCCCCAAAGCAGTCCCATCTCCTCTGCCATGCACAACATGAATATCCACTCCTCCTCCCCCTCCTCCTCCCCCTCCTCCTCCTCCTCCTCTTCTTTAGAGCAGTACACATGCACATATTTAAGGACTATCCCTGAGACCATCCTTCTCATTTTGGAAACTGCTAGGGAGGAAACCAACCGCTTAAACAAGTGTGATTTTCCAAGATCCGGGCAATTGTGTGCTGTTGGTTGTGGTGGAGGATGTGGCAGATGTATATGTACCTACACGGTTCTCTAACAGAGCTTTCTGTATCTATAGATAGACGCCATCTGCCCATTTCTATGTATCTTTCTATAAATATACACTCTCAGGTATCTTTTCTGGTGTGTAGAAATCAGTGGTTTGCTTCTCTGGACACTTCTGGAACCCAGATGTGACCCTGCTTGTCTCCTTTTGGGGCTGGAGAGCTCTCAGATGCTTTCATCAGAGGTCCATTCTCGGGTTTCTGGGTCTGATGGATTTTAGAGAGAACTGCTGGGGTACAGAAGCTTGGAGGGAAAGGGGGTCTGTGGCCAGTTGGGACCCTGGAGCAGCGTCCTCTGCAGAGAAGGATTTTGTCTGGCCACAGCCTGGAGAAACCTGAGAACCAGTCAGCTAGCCAGGGTCTCAGAGAAAAGCAGATCACACACTCAAATTGGATAATTTGAGCAGAGTTTTTAATAAAGGCAATATTTACAAAGTGTGGCTAAGCCTCCCATGAGAGGGCAGAACCCTGGAGCCAGCAGTGTGGGGTGCTACCCCCACCCCAGGCCTGAGTGGGGAAGGAGTTATCTTTAGCAGACAGGAATGCTGGAGGAGTGAGAGGGGCACCTGAGAGCTGGGACCTTTGCTCAAAGGATGCAGCCAGTCATGGGGACTCTCCAGGGAAATTAACATTCTGAGCTGCTTTCCTGCCCCCTCTCAATCCATTCGCTGAGGCTGCTAGAAGCCACTGGGCCAAGGGAGCTTGTTGATATGGCTCACATGGGCATGTTCCCAGGTCAGAGAGGAGAGCGGAGAGTGAATCTAGAGGGACACAAAAGACAGAAGCGACTCCAGCTGCCTTTCTTTCTGCTGTTTTGTCTCGCAGCTGGGATCCTCTTTTCCAGGGCTTCGAGTTTAGGTTTAATGTAGTTAGTAAGGAGTTACTTCCAAAGGCAGTGGCTTAGTTGTCACCATATTATTAATTTTATTAATGACTGATGTGCGTGGGATTGGATTAATACATTAATCCTTAGGACAGCCCCATGAAGCAGCTTGGTGGCAGCTCACGGAGCTGAGGCTTAGACATTTGTAACTCCCTTGAGACCGCACAGGGGGCAGAGCTGGATTCTGGTCTCCCACTTGCCATTGGTGCAGGACTTAATCACGGCCACGTGCTTCCCTTGTTTTGGGTTGTGGGTTTCTGTTCAGTGAGAACTCAGCTCAGTCCAACGTGAACGAGACCAAGTTGGAAGGCAGGGAGGGAGCTGGCTTTGAGATGACAGGGCCCAGGATGTGAATGCAGCTGAGACTGGTTCTTGTACCTCCCTCTTGTCCCCTGGATTGATACCTGTGCCCAATTATATGCTTGGTCAGGGAGCCCTGGCTGCTGGCATTCTGGGTCCCCTAACCATAGGAAAAGGAGCTTCCATTAGTGTAAAGTCCGGGGCAGGATTCTGATTGTCTGGGCTTAGATCTGGTACCCATAGCTGATCCAATCATGTGACTGCTGGGGTCACGTGGCCAACCTGCCACAAGAGGGTGGAGTCTGTACTGGAAGACAGGAGAGAAGGAGTGCAGAGCAGACAGGAAGTAATGGTGTTCCAGACTCTGAATTGCTGCAGCCCTGGAGGCCAGCTGGGAGTTGGGACGACTGGTTTTAGAACAGTTCCTCTGCCTCCCTAAGTTCCGCACCTGTCAGGATTCTGTTACTTCTTGGTAACTGGGACTTGCCCAACTTTAAAAACATTATTTTAAAAAAAGTAATGTGCACATGTAAAAGATTCAAATAGTACACAGGTGTACAGTCAAAAGTAAAATTTCCTCCATCCCAGGCCCACCAGCACCCCTGATGCCAGCTTTCTGGGTGTGGTCTAGGGCCTCAGTGTAGTGTGGGGGTTGTGAGCACAGACTTTGGCGCCAGCTTGCTGGGTTCAAATGCTGTCTCCCTCTTTGTAGCTCTGTGCTTCAAGTGAAATACTGTGCCTCAGTTTCTCCTTTATAAAGGTGGGGCTCACGACAGTGCCTGGCCTGTGTGAGAACTATGAGGGTGTTAGCTGTTCTTTACCAGAATAAATACATTTATATATCTCCCATATGCATTTTGTTAATTTTTAAAATATTTTAAACACAAAGTTTGAAACAGATAATTGTGTAACAGTAACTGTGAACTCACCTCCCGGAATTTACAAATGCTGACATCTTGCAATATTTATTTCAGATCTATTTTTAAGGGGGAGGAAAAAAAAACCCCTGCAGTTACTGCTTAATCCTCTTCCCACCCCACCCTCTTATTTTCACACAAGGAGCATAGTGTTCATACTTATGCCGTTTTTTTCAGTAACTGAGTATATTTGGAGATCTCCCTCCCTAGGTCATAGAGCTCTGCCCCCTTCTAACAGCTGCTCAGCCTTCTGTGACTAGAGGTGCTGTCACCAGCTTGCCCAATCCCTTCTTGGTGGTCATAAGGGTCATCTGTCATCCCAGGCGCTCTGGCAGACAGTGCTGAGAGTTCTTGCACATGGCTGTCCGGGTGCCGAGGGGCAAGAGTACAGGAGACAGAAAGTGTCCATGTGGAACCGTGGAGTTCAAGAGCAAGTGTGATTTCAATTTTGAGGCAATTGTACATGACCTCTAAAAGAGGTTAAACTGGCTGCGTGTGGTGCCTCATGCCTGTAATCCCAGCACTCTGAGAGACCAAGGTGGGTGGATCACCTGAGGTCAGGAGTTTGAGACCAGCCTGGGCAATATGGTAAAACCCCCCGTCTCTACTAAAAATACAAAAAATTAGCTGGGTGTGGTGGTGTGTGCCTGTAATCCCAGCTACTTGGGAGGCCAAGGCACGAGAACCACTTGAACCTGGGAGGCAGAAGTTGCAGTGAGCCGAGATTGCACCACTGCACTCCAGCCTGGGCGACAGAGTGAGACTCTGTCTTAAATAAATAAATAGGTTATACTAAATAATGAAGAATGGAAGCAAGAAGAAAGAGAGGAAAGAAGGTTCGAAGGAAGGAAGGAGGGAAAACTAAAGGGGAAATCGTGCTTGCTGGTGAGGCTTGGAGCACATTTTCCTGCAGGCTGGTGTGGGTGAGAAGTTTGGTCCTGTCTGCAAATCTTCTGAAGGCCATTCCAGAGGAGCAGTTGCCACGGCCCCGGGCCCCTGAGCTCTGAGCATGGGGGTTCTCCTGGGGAGACGTGAGGCAAGAGGATGCCGATTTCTGCTGATCTGTCACTGTGTACCGAGGACTGGGTGTGTTTAAGGCAGACAGCCAGGTGAAGATCCCGGGTATCAGCCTGCTGTCATCTCCTAGGAGTGCCCGGGGGGTCAGGAGCCTGGGGGACTCTTGCACTTAGCATCCAGCCATGCTAATTACACTTTTTGGCAAAGGAAACAGCTAGGAGCAGTTTCTTTCACTCACCCAACCCTGTTTTCTCAGTGTTTAGATCTCAAATCATTACTGGGCTAGAGTGAAGGCAGCCCAGTAGTGTGGCAGGAGGAGGAGAAGGCTGCCCGCACCTTGGTGTGTCTGTCAGATGCCAGCAGTAATAACCTGGCTTCTGTGAGGCCTGTCAGTGCTCTCGGGAATGAAAGGGGGCCCTCAGAGGTGCTCAGTGCCAGCAGGCTGTGCACACCCTCCACCCAGCACCCCCGCCTCCTCGTTAAAGATGGTGCTACCTGTCACATAGCAGACACCTGGTCACTGCATAGCTGAAAGGCCCCAAGGCAGCCTTGCCCCTCATCCAGTCACACCCCAGCACCCACCTTCCTGGCCCCTGCCTTGGCCTCCCCAGACCAGCTGCACCCAGCCCCCCATGTGCACCCCTTCTCCAGATGTGTGCAGGGCTGCGTTTTACAGAGCGAAGACAGATGTTTCAACCACATGCTTTATTAACTTCTAAAAGCTGTGCTTGGGACACTCTTCCCGTCATTAAAAGTTTGATCACTTGCTACATTCATGATCTTTATGTGGGGCTCTGATCTGGTGTTCAGTCTCATCCGCTCCCAAACCAGCAGTCCTACCCCACCTCTCTCCTCAGGGGCCCACACCCCCAAATGACTTTCCCGATTTGTGTATTTCCTTGCAAAAGGCTTTCTGTACCTGGCATCCGCCTCCAGCATGAGAAGGGGAATGAGTGAGACCAGTTTGCCAGTAGCAGACGGTGACCCCGGGGAGGAAATGGCAGAGCCTGGCGGAGACTCCCGTCTCCAATTGACCAGCCGATGGGATTCTGCTTCTCTCCAGTGTCTCCCACAGACTAGAAGAATCCTGGTACATTTAGCCCATGAGCCTGGCACAGATCCCTACCTAGACATGAGGCCCTCTAGACATGACTTTGGCATTGCCAGCCTGCTGGTGGTGAGTCGGGGAGGCAGAGGGGATGCTCACACCAGTAATTCTCATCCCCCGAGTGCTTTGGATCACCTGGGGAGATTTCACAGAATACTGGTGTGGGGGTTCCACCTCTGATGATGCTTAGTGACAGGTCTAGGGTGTGGCCCAGGCATCAAGATGTTTCAGGCCCCCAGGTGACTTCGTAGGCAGCCCAGCTAAGTCCCTAGAGCCTTGCATTTTCCCCAGATGACCTCAGAGGGCCCCATTTGAGGGAAATACCTAGCTTCAGTGACCATAAGAATCCCCCAGGGAGCATGTGAAATGCAGCTATCAGGCCCACCCCTGGAGATGAGCTAGGGTGGGTCAGGGGTGAGGTGCAGGAATCAGTGCTTTTCACAAGCTCCACACCTCCAAGGAAATGGTGCTGTGGTCGGGCCCACAGACCACAGCCAGCGAGTCCCATTGCCTGTGCCTTGGTGCATGCCCGGTGGAATCCCAGTGGCCCTGCCCCGAGGAGGATGTGCATTAAGGTGGTAGGAGAGGCAGAGAGAGCTCCACCTGCCCCCTGCCCCACCAAGGACCCCCAAAACCTTCGTGGATGTTAGAGCAAGTTGCCATGCCGCAGCAGTGGATGAGGCTGGAGAATTTAGTAAGAGCCCTTTGTTTTGGGGCTGAGTTCTTTTTCTAGCTGCCCTGTCACCTTTTTCTAGCTGCCGTCTGCCCCTGGATAACCCACCTCTCCTCCCTTATTGTAAAATTACAGGTGGCGAAAGACAGCCACATTTAGTGAGACCCCAAGGTCCTCCAACTAGGGTGGGTCCACAGTGGCCCCTGGTGCGTGGAGCACACACTCGCTTCCCTCCCCTGGCTCAGGACCAGGGTCTGAAATGAGGGAGACATGAGTGGCTTTCTTGAAAACTTCTCCTCCCATCGTACTGCTTTGCCTGGGGGCCCTTGGTCAAGGCAAGCTTTGGGGAATAGGGCTTGTTGCGAATACCAGCTATCTCATTTTGCTGTACTGCAAACCAAGGCTTGGTTCCAAGCTTATGGTGGCCCTGCCCTGCCCTGCCCCTAGTGGGGTTCATTTTGGTGTCACATCTGGTCAGACCCTTTAGAGAGCCCTTCCCCAGCCTCCATATCAGGGAGAGAGGGAGGGAGAGAGGAGCATTCGAGGCTTAGAAGAAGCCCTAAAATACAACAACCTAGGAGGAACTGCCAGGGTCCAAGGACCGGCACTGGAGGGGGCAGCCCAGGACCCCCGGGCTTCTGAGCAGGAGAACCAAGACCTTCAGGGGCCCTAAGCACCGAAAGCATCACTCCTCACCCCCACCCCAAGCCCTGGCATCCCCCTGCGCTTTTAAAATAACCATTTTCTAGATATTTCCGATGGCAAAATTCTGGGTGAGTTTATCCAAGCTGAATTTTGCTACTTTTCTCTTTCCCAACAAGGCCTTGCTTTTTGGAACCACCTTAGCTGGTGCTCAGGCAGAGGGGCAGTCAGCCATGGTCATGAGGATCCTGGCTCTGTGGGTCGCCTTCCTCCTGGTCTGTGAAGCCGCTGCAGGCAGGGACTTCTTAGATAGCTGCTTCCTTAGGTCGTGGCACATAGTGGGTGGTTAATGAATGGAAGAGAGTGAATGAGCGATCAAGAGGCAGGAAGGAGGGGAGTGAAGATTTCTCATCCTTTCCTGTTAATTTGTGACATCCTCCTGCCTGTGAGTTCTTGACTCTGGAGTTTTACAAAACAGTCACATTTCAAATAAAAGTCTGGGAAAGCAACACAGCATCATCAACTTTTAAGTTTGCTAAATAAGGATATAAAAAAAGAAAAAATATTAGAAAATTGCAGTCCTTTACTGTTTAAAGAAACCAAAAGAAGGAAAGATATAATTTAGCATTAGTTAAAAAAGAAAACAAACGAAAACCCCCCACCTCATTGTGTTGTCTTTTTTTTCCCCTTGGAAACCAGTGAACGTTTGGTCAACCACACATTGTAGTAGGGCTAGAATTTCTCTTCCCATTTTAGAGATGGGAGACCTAAGACCCCAGGTAGGGGTGTGGGGTCCAAATGGACACTTCTTTCCAAAGCTGAGCACAGACCGACTCACAGGCCCTTTTTCCAGTCATGGCCTCAGCTGTCTGCAAAGCACTTGGGGGAGGCTGGCATCTGATGTCTGGAGAGGGAGTTTCTGGAACCCCCAACACTGGTCAGTAACTCCACAGAGGCCATTGGTGGTGGTGGGGTCTGCTTGTGTCAGCAGGCGTGTCATGGCCAGTTCAGTGATCGGCCCTGAGCTGTGTCTCTGGGTGCCTGGCAGAGGGGCTACAGCGGGCCTGAGGCCAACTTGCTCAGAGCCACACTTCCCAAGAAGCTGTAGGATCTGGAACCCTGCCCTACCTTCCTGTCCTCTGCTCACTCTAAGCCTCCAGAAGTCAATCCTCTGCTCACCGGGACCATACCTAGTGTGGCCCATTGATGTGTCCTGTTTGACCTATCCAGGGTTTCAAATTTTTTGAATTAATTTCCAAAATCTTAGGGTTTCAGCTAAAAACCTGGATTTTTTGCTTTTCTCATAAAAATCAGAAAGTGTGTTTGCCCCAGGCCCCCGTTCCCACGTGGCTGTAATCCGTCCGCTCCTTCCAGTGGTACACATGCCTTTCTTCCCGCGCCCAGATCCCCTCTCAGCCTGATTTTCAGGCCTGGGTTTGACATGATTCAGCTCATGACCCCTGCGCAGCCTCAAGCACCCAATTTTTGAAGG